AGCGTTTCAAGCTGTCACCCTGGGTAGAGCACTGCGGTATTATAGCTCACAGCAACCTCCAACTCTTGGGCTTAAGCAATCCTCTTGCCTCAGTTTTTCTACTTTTAGTAGAGATGGATCTCCCTTTGGCTCAGGCTGGTCTTGAACTTGTGAGCTCAGGCAGTCCACCCGCCTTGGCTTCCCAGAGTATTAGGATTACAGGAGTGAGCTACCGCACCTGGCCTTTTCTGTAGAACTCTTTATTAATTCTTGAGATGCTCTGTGAAAAAAGTTTAAGAAATGCTGCTCACTACATCCACCCTTGAGACTGATGATGTGCAGGCATATGGTAAGGCTCTCAGAAGTGTAGAAGGGTAGAACTATATTTCTTTGTTTATCTTGATGTTATTTGATCATGAGACTCAAAAGAACCACCTGTTTGTATCCTTTAGAAACATACTTTATGGAGCATTCCTTTATGTAGATGTTATTGCTTTGATTAAAATGAAAACTCTACCAGTATTTGAATTTTTTTATGATTATGTATTTAAAGTTTGCTCTGGCTGTTACATTTTTACTTAAGAAGAGTTATAATTTTGAGCTGCATAGATTAATCCTAATAGTCTGTTTTTAAGTAAAAATGAACTTAGTTTTTTGCCTGTAAAGATTGACTAGTTATTATATTCATTGTATACTATTTTTAAATATTTCTTTAACAGTTGGGTAAAGTGTTGATTTTCTTCTCTAGTCCAGCCGGACCCTGAGAGTGTGGTCTTAGGTACGGATGGAGGGCGCTATGATGTGCACCTCTATGACCGTGTAAGGAAAGCTGTCTACTGGGAAGAGGAGCCGGCTGAAGTGAGACGCTGTACATGGTTTTACAAGGGGGACACAGATAGCAGATTTATTCCCTATACAGAGGAGTTCAGTGAAAAACTAGAGGTATGTGTGCTTTATTCCTTTGACTTTTCTTTAAAAAAAGAAGGTTGTGTATCATTGGAGCCTTATGTAACACCACTCACAGTGGGACTGACTTTGTCTTCAACACAGCTTTTCTTGGAGCTGTTCACAAAGACCACTTTTTTTTTTTTTTGAGATGGAGCCTCAAGCTGTCCCCCTGGGTAGAGTGCTGTGGCATCACGCTCACAGCAACCTCCTCCAACTTGGCGTGGAGCCAAGACCACTTTTTAAACGGTGCCATTGTTCATGGGTACTCATTGTGGCCTCCATGTCCAAAGATAGAATATGTTTTTCAAAAGTACGTCACAGATCTGATAAGTAATTGTACCATACCTTCAAAAGAATTTAGGCTGCTAGGATATTATTGACAACAGGTGCTAAGCATATGGTCATTTTCAAATTAATATTGAGTAAAAGGCTTGAAATTAACCTCTGATTTCTAAAAATAAATATAAAACAGAAATGGCAGAAGTGTCATGAAATGTATTAGTCCTCTAACTGGCAATTAATGTTGTTTTATATAATTAATTTCTTGTGATAATTCTCCTTGATAGTTGAGTATTGGGTATTTGAGGTAAGTTATGTAAATTCATATGCATACATGGAAAATGAGATAGAGGATATTTTAGTTAACTGTTTTTTAATGTAATAGCTGTTCAAATTTCTTTTCTTTCTAAAATGTTAATCATATTTTGAATATATCAAGCAAGAGCTATACCTTATGTTCTGTTTAGGAATTGACAGTTCAAGTATCACTATTACTTAATTTTTTTTCCTTGAGAAACATATAATTAATAGAAGTAAAAAAAGTAATCACAATCTCTTTCAAGTCATATTCTACGTGTAAAATATTTGTTAGACTTTTTTATCAATATATATATTTTTCCTAAGAATTATAGATTTTTTGTGGG